ATGGTAAGGTCTATTTCATTAGTGTAATGTTACACTTGTATGGTAAGGTCTATTTCATTAGTGTAACGTTACACCTGTATGGTAAGGTCTATTTCATTAGTGTAATGTTACCCTTGTATGGTAAGGTCTATTTCATTAGTTTAATGTTACACCTGTATGGTAAGTTCTATTTCATTAGTGTAATGTTACCCTTGTATGGTAAGGTCTATTTCATTAGTTTAATGTTACACCTGTATGGTAAGATCGTTAGTGTAATGTTACACCTGAATGGTAAGGTCTATCTCATTAGTGGAATGTTACACCTGTATGGTAAGGTCGTTAGTGTAATGTTACACCTGCATGGTAAGGCCCTCATTAGTGTAATGTTACACCTGCATGGTAAGGCCCTCATTAGTGTAATGTTACACCTGCATGGTAAGGCCCATTTCATTAGCGTTATGTTACACCTGTATGGTAAAGTCGTTAGTGTAATGTTACACCTGTATGGTAATATCTTTCTCATTAATGTAATGTTACACCAGTATGGTAAGGCCCGTTTCATTAGCCTAATGTTACACCTGTATGGTAAGGTATATCTCATTAGTGTTATGTTATACCTGTATGGTAAGGTCGTTAGTGTAATGTTACACCTGTATGGTAAGATCTTTCTCATTAGCGTAATGTTACACCTGTATGGTAAGTTCTATTTCATTAGTGTAATGTTACATCTGTCTGGTAAGGTCTATCTCATTAGTGGAATGTTACACCTGTATGGTAAGGTCGTTAGTGTAATGTTACACCTGGATGGTAAGGTCTATCTCATCGGTGTAATGTTACACCTGTATAGTAATATCTTTCACATTAGTGTAATGTTACACCTGTCTGGTAAGGCCCGTTTCATTAGCGTAATGTTACATGTTACACCTGTATGGTAAGGTATATCTCATTAGTGTTATGTTATACCTGTATGGTAAGGTCGTTAGTGTAATGTTACACCTGAATGGTAAGGTCTATATCATTAGTTGTATGTTACACCTGTATGGTAAGGTATATCTCATTAGTGTTATGTTATACCTGTATGGTAAGGTCGTTAGTGTAATGTTACACCTGGATGGTAAGGTCTATCTCATCGGTGCAATGTTACACCTGTATAGTAATATCTTTCACATTAGTGTAATGTTACACCTGTCTGGTAAGGCCCGTTTCATTAGCGTAATGTTACACCTGTATGGTAATATCTTTCTCATTAATGTAATGTTACACCAGTATGGTAAGGCCCGTTTCATTAGCCTAATGTTACACCTGTATGGTAAGGTCGTTAGTGTAATGTTACACCTGCATGGTAAGGCCCATTTCATTAGCGTTATGTTACACCTGTATGGTAAGGTCGTTAGTGTAATGTTACACCTGAATGGTAAGGTCTATATCATTAGTTGTATGTTACACCTGTATGGTAAGGTATATCTCATTAGTGTTATGTTATACCTGTATGGTAAGGTCGTTAGTGTAATGTTACACCTGGATGGTAAGGTCTATCTCATTAGTGTAATGTTACACCTGTATGGTAAGGTCTATCTCATCGGTGTAATGTTACACCTGTATAGTAATATCTTTCTCATTAGTGTAATGTTACACCTGTATGGTAAGGCCCGTTTCATTAGCGTAATGTTACACCTGTATGGCAAGGTATATCTCATCGGTGTAATGTTACTCCTGTATGGTAAGATCGTTAGTGGAATGTTACACCTGTATGGTAATATCTTTCTCATTTGTGTAATGTTACACATGTAAGGTAAGGTCTATCTCATTAGCATAATGTTACACCTGTATGGTAAGATCTTTCTCATTAGCGTAATGTTACACCTGTATGGTAGGGTATATCTCATCGGTGTAATGTTACACCTGTATGGTAAGGTCTATCTCATTAGTGTTATGTTACACCTGTATGGTAAGATCGTTAGTGTAATGTTACACCTGTATGGTAAGGTATATCTCATCGGTGTAATGTTACACCTGTATGGTAATATCTTTCTCATTAGTGTAATGTTACACATGTATGGTAATGTCTATCTCATTAGTTGTATGTTACACCTGTATGGTAAGGTCTATATCATTAGTTGTATGTTACACCTGTATGGTAATATCTTTCTCATTAGTTGTATGTTACACCTGTATGGTAAGGTCTATATCATTAGTTGTATGTTACACCTGTATGGTAAGGTCGTTAGTGTAATGTTACATATGTATGGTAAGGTCTATCGCACTAGTGTAATGTTACACATGTATGGTAAGGTCTATCTCATCGGTGTAATGTTACACTTGTATGGTAATATCTTTCTCATTAGTGTAATGTTACACATGTATGGTAAGGTCTATCTCATTGGTGTAATGTAACACCTGTATGGTAAGGTTTATCTCATTAGTGTAATGTTACACCTGTATGGCAAGACTACTGCCAAATAACAATGTACTGCATTACATGTACTTTTGATGGATTTTGTTTTTTTCTCGACTAAGGATCCGGAGCTGCAAGTGGTATATGTCTGAAAGCTTGTATTTTTTTAGCTTTCTTACCTCTATACTACACTGTCATCTAACAATTAACGTTATGGAGCCACATGCACTAGCTTTGTCTGTAATACACACATAAAATACACCCATGATAATATAGTATGGGTGTCCATGTATTGACAGACGAGGCTAGTAACAAAACCAGTTATGAACAGTGACCTATCACCTATTTCCTCTGTCAACTTAATATTTAATACTTAATAAAATGGCACAACACTGTAAAAATTGACAGATTTTAATTCTCTTCAGAAATTTTTTACTGAATAAATACACAGTCTGTCCATGACATTGTATCTAATTATAAACTTGTACACTGTAACAAGCTACAGTATTTTCTTTTCACGAAAAAAGTACAAATATTACCCATTACCAAAGCCATTACATGGCCCTACCGATACTGTAGCGATCCTTGTCAGGACTGAGTGAGTATTATGATTTGATTTGAATTACTTTCAAAATGCAATAAAACAGTTGACTTATATTTATACATGAACATGTCATAATATTTATGATTTATGATTTACGTTTCAGCCGACCTGTACAAAGGTGTAATCTCTTTCCTACACTCTCATAGTCTGAGGTCAGTGTGGTAGAAGACAACAATTTCTCTTACCCAGGACAGTTGTATCCACACTTTTACCGGTGTGAGATTTCCTTTTCTCACCCTAGGGTTGAGACGGGGGGAATTCTCCTATTCATAACAATGTTATGATGTCACTTCAACAATACAATGACGTCTCGTCAACAATCCATCAACGTAACGTCAACCCTGATTTAGCATGTAATGTTATCATTACATTGTGTATATGATACACATAGAGAACAGGCATAAAAGAATCATTCACCCCCTTTTTGGGTAAGATAGGGGAATCTCAACCCCCGGGGAAAGATTCTTAAGTTGCCAAGCATAAGAATCTCCCCCCCCCCCTCCCTCGGGTTGAGATTTCAACCCCAAGGGGGTGAGAGATTCTATTAGTCCTGAACAAATAATCCTATAAAGTTCCCAGTTAACAAGTAGCTTCATACATCTATAAATATATAAATACGTGTGACAGTCACCTATACTACTGTTGCACATTATACATTTATTGTGGTAGGGAAACACAGTCAATTGTTTTCAAGGGAAAAAAAAGCCATGTATCCTTCCTGTAAGGAAAATATAAATAGTTCATTTTATTGAAACAGAACAATTACACAACACTGAAAACAATAAGGTTTCCGCAGGATTGTTGTCATCTGCTTCAGTTATTTTGATTTCAGGAGCACATTTTTCTACAGAGGCTCTGAAAAACTCTGTCACGTGAGGGATATTTGAGGGATATAAAGTAATTTTTCTTCCTGCAGAGTGATCTAAATAATCTTATAAGACAAACTATCATATAATTAAAGGATGATAAATTATATCCTTCTAGTGACTTGTACTTAAGGGGCCTTATAGTCCTGTATCAGACATAAGTTTCTTTTGATATCCAAATGAGAAAAGAGGTTAAAATGCTTCTGTTATACCTCAAGACCATGGTGGCAATCCAAAATTTCTTACTTACCAAATTCAAATAATTTAAATAATAACACTTCGTTCAGGGTAAGTGCAAATGTACTGAAATTCAGCATAAGTCAAACAAGTCTCATCCAGTTAGACCCAAGGTTGGCTAGTGTGGCTCTTGAATCAATATAAAAAATACCATGACCTGTGCGTTAAGAACAATGACAACATTATTCAGATCAGATTTGGTTAACTTTGGCCTGGCATACATAAGTTGAGAAGTTGAAAATGTCTCAACCAATCAAACACAGGCAGTCATCATTGATCCCATATTGTATTGAAATATAGCAACCTATAGCAATTTGTTTATCGGCCTTAAGGAAATAGAGAAAACGGAGAAATGTCTCAATAATTAAATGTTACACACTTTGCTTGTACAAAATTGAGTCTCCTCGGCCCACTGATGCTTCATACAGCAGGAGGAGTTGTCTATTAACTCATTCACCCCTGAAATTTCATAATGAACTATACCAACCTTTGAATTGGAAGAGTTCAAATGTGTCTTCAGGGGTGAATGGGTTAAAAAAACAATATACGCCCTTCGAATGTCATCTAGTGTTATATACTTTTTTACATTGAAATAAGATCTGCATCATTCTAAGAGTGGTTAGCTGACATGCTATAAAAAATGAAGTAGAAAATCTCCGGACAAAAAATCAAATACTGAAATAAACAAAGGACAATAACTTTTGGAAGAATTATCAAATCAAAATTCAGTTAAGGGAGACACAACTTCATATTATGATTATGATGTATACCAAGTTTCAAGGAGATCGGTCAAAAAATGTAGGAGGTGATCGCCGGACAATAATCAAATACTGAAATGAACAAATGGCAATAACTTTTGCAAAAAATAGGCGAATCAAAATTCTTTTAAGGGAGACACAATTTCATACCATGATTATGATGTATACCAAGTTTCAGGACGGACGGACAACCCCATACCATAATACTCCCGTCAAATGTGACGGGCGTATAAAAAGTTGATCGACCTATTATGGACACCGCACTACAGAATAAGCCCACATGGTCCTTTTGGCCAGGTGCAGTGCTATAAACGAACACCAAACTTTCCATTGTACACAACAGCAAGGTAAAAAAATATTGTCTTTCCATAGGCAAGTAAAGTATGGCACTCAATATTGCTTACATGTACCAGACAAACTGTATAAAATAGATAATTCAAGAACTGGATATCATGTAAGATTTCGTCAGCTGGAGTATCTAAATATGTTGTTTTATATGCATCAACCTTGTAAATCACATTTTAAGGTCAAATGTTTGATTGGATAAAATCTCATTGCATAATTGAATAGTTTTTTGGGTGATTGCCGATTCATTCACACAATCTAGGAATTCTTCTCCGGAATCATCATTGTCACCTGCGAACAGAAACAAAAATATATTTGGAATAGAACAGCAATATAGCTCGTACTGATGTATATAACCCCCTATAATGTGCTTTACATGAAGCATGCATATACAAAACCATGTAGTTGGTAATTTTCACAGAGGGTATAATTTCGCCATATTTGCAGTCACCAAAGATGGCTGCAAATATTAAATATACAAAGATAAAACACCATTTCAATATCATATTTACATTATTTTGATAAAACGTTTGTAAAATAAATCCAAACACCCAAATTCAAAAGTTCCTCTTGAGCCCTACGTATATATTTTCCTGGCATTGTAACGTGAAATTTAGTTTACATCCTGACGACTGCGAAATGTTAGCCCCACAAAATGAACAACTAGACAGTAATACCGAGGCCCTATATAACCCCTACATAGTGTTAAACTTCGTTCAAATTCATAACCATTAAGTTTTCATTATACAACATTTTCATGGATTTCCAAAAGTCAATTAATTTCTGTTAATTTTTAACTTTGACAAGATTATCTTCTACAAAATCCATCAACAGGTTATCAATGTCTTTGAAAATACATTCTAGTCGCATAAGTCACTTGTTGACATTAAAGGTCAAATAATACTTACAGTTTTGACTTCTGTGTATTCCTTGAGAGCATATTCTCCACTGTAATCAATTAAAATCAATTAAAGGTTACATAATTGCTTTAATATCTCTATACTGTACTTGCTGCATCAATTTCCCACATTTGATGAAAAAATATTGTGTATTGGCTTAGTCTTCTCTTACTCTATACACCACATAAGTATCCAGGTATCCCTGGTCTAGTCTACCCTTACTCTATACTCTACATAAGTATCCAGGTATCTCTGGTCTAGTCTACCCTTACTCTATATTCTACAGAAGTATCCAGATATCCCTGGTCTAGTCTCCCCTTACTCTATACTCTACAGAAGTATCCAGGTATCCCTGGTCTAGTCTAACCTATAACTCTATACTGTACAGAAGTATCCAGGTATCCCTGGTCTAGTCTACCCTGTAACTCTATACTCTACAGATGTATCCAGGTATCCCTGGTCTAGTCTACCCTTTCTCTATACTGTACAGAAGTATCCAGGTATCCTTGGTCAAGTCTACCCTGTAACTCTATACTCTACAGAAGTATCCAGGTATCCTTGGTCTAGTCTACCCTTACTCTATACTGTACAGAAGTATCCAGGTATCCTTGGTCAAGTCTACCCTTACTCTATACTGTACAGAAGTATCCAGGTATCCCTAGCCTAGTCTACCCTATAACTTTATACTGTACAGAAGTATCCAGGTATCCCTGGTCTAGTCTACACTTACTCTATACTCTACAGAAGTATCCAGGTATACCTGGTCTAGTCTAACCTATAACTCTATACTGTACAGAAGTATCCAGGTATCCCTAGCCTAGTCTACCCTATAACTTTATACTGTACAGAAGTATCCAGGTATCCCTGGTCTAGTCTCCCCTTTCTCTATACTGTACAGAAGTATCCAGGTATCCTTGGTCTAGTCTACCCTTACTCTATACTGTACAGAAGTATCCAGGTATCCTTGGTCTAGTCTACCCTTACTCTATACTGTACAGAAGTATCCAGGTATCCTTGGTCAAGTCTACCCTGTAACTCTATACTCTACAGAAGTATCCAGGTATCCCTGTTCTAGTCTACCCTATACCTCTATACTCTACAGAAGCATTCAGGTACCCCTGGCCTAGTCTACCCTATAACTCTATACTCTACATAAGTAACCAGGTATCCCTGGTCTAGTCTACCCTTACTCTATACTCTACAGAATTATCCACGTATCCCTGGTCTAGTCTACCCTATACCTCTATACTCTAAAGAAGTATTCAGGTACCCCTGGCCTAGTCTACCCTATAACTCTTTACTCTACAGAAGTATCCAGGTATCCCTGGTCAAGTTTACCCTTACTCTATACTCTACAGAAGTATCCAGGTATCCCTGGTCTAGTCTACCCTATACCTCTATACTCTACAGAAGTATTCAGGTACCCCTGGCCTAGTCTACCCTATAACTCTATACTCTACAGAAGTATCCAGGTATCCCTGGTCTAGTCTACCCTTTCTCTATACTGTACAGAAGTATCCAGGTATCCTTGGTCAAGTCTACCCTTACTCTATACTGTACAGAAGTATCCAGGTATCCCTAGCCTAGTCTACCCTATAACTTTATACTGTACAGAAGTATCCAGGTATCCCTGGCCTAGTCTACCCTTACTCTATACTGTACAGAAGTATCCAGGTATCCCTAGCCTAGTCTACCCTATAACTTTATACTGTACAGAAGTATCCAGGTATCCCTGGTCTAGTCTACCCTATAACTTTATACTGTACAGAAGTGTCCAGGTATCCCTGGCCTAGTCTACCCTTACTCTATCCTCTACAGAAGTATCCAGGTATCCCTGGTCTAGTCTACCCTATAACTTTATTCTCTACAGAAGTATCCAGGTATCCCTGGCCTAGTCTACCCTTACTCTATCCGCTACAGAAGTATCCAGGTATCCCTGGTCTAGTCTCCCCTATAACTTTATACTCTACAGAAGTATCCAGGTATCCCTGGCCTAGTCTACCCTTACTCTATACTCTACAGAAGTATCCAGATATCCCTGGCCTAGTCTACCCTGTAACTCTATACTCTACAGAAGAATCCAGGTATCCCTGGTCTAGTCTACCCTATACCTCTATACTCTACATTAGTATCCAGGTATCCTTGGTCAAGTCTACCCTGTAACTCTATACTCTACAGAAGTATCCAGGTATCTCTGGTCTAGTCTACCCTTACTCTATACTCTACAGAAGTATCCAGGTATCCCTGGTCTAGTCTACCCTTACTCTATACTCTACAGAAGTATCCAGGTATCCCTGGCCTAGTCTACCCTTACTCTATACTCTACAGAAGTATCCAGATATCCCTGGTCTAGTCTACCCTTACTCTATACTCTACAGAAGTATCCAGGTATCCCTGGCCTAGTCTACCCTTACTCTATACTCTAACGAAGTATCCACGTATCCCTGGTCTAGTCTTCCCTTACTCTATACTGTACAGAATTATCCAGGTATCCCCTAACAATGTAACTAGCTATCATATTAATACTACAGATACTTGAAAAATTTCCCAAATCAAACTCGTGTCCTCACTGGTCAATTCATATTCACCAATTTATAATTTATAATTTAGTCCTTCACATCTGATTACTTTCTTTATTATGCTGTTCCTTATATACACTGTAATGATAAATTTTCCCTCAATATAGTGAAGACCAAAAAAAGGCAAAACTGAACCAGTGCCAAAAAATTCCTTATATACAGCAAATTGTGTCGTACTTATATAATCCCTCCATTACACAGATTTTATTCTAACTGTAGGACTTCAAAAAAGGCCTCTGCTGTCAGCTCAGTACAGTTTGAACAAATTCTAACAAGAGGATGGACATACAAACTATAACATTCATTTACTTTAAAGCCTTGAATATTCAAAAAACTTTTTCAGAATCAATGTAGTTATTGCTCAGGTTTTTGGATGCCAAGAGCAATAACTCTGTTATTTGTATTGAAATCGACTTCATTATAATATGTGTTCTGTTTTTCTAATTATTTGTTGTAATGCAGATACTAAATGCTTCTTTTAAAACTGTTTAACTAGATCCTCCAGAATGAGATGCATTTGTTTGGTATGAATAATAAATCATAAATCTGTTTTGAATATGAAGAGTAAATGGAAAGTTATTTCATAAGCTTACAAAAATGTCTGTTTCCTTTGTCAAGCGAAGAGTGCAAATGATCATTGTAAGGGATGGAATGGCTAAACATATTAACCATCCCTCTGACTGCCTACAGTAATAGTGCTACTGTATTTACCATCTCTCTGACTGCCTACAGTAATAGTGCTACTGTATTTGGAAGAAACATCTCAATATTATATTGATAGCTGACTTAACTGACTTGGCAAAAAAAGACTCAGTGACTTGTTTTTAGCAATTTATCTTAGAGTCGAGACACCAGTCATTTGCACTCTTTGCTTGACAAAGAAAATCAAGGTTTTGAAAGCTGTGATCGCAAAGTTATTTTTTGTATTACTTTTGGTGTTCAAAACAAACTTGATATTTATTGGTAGAATAGATCCACTTATTTTCAGTTACATGAAGTATTTGGACACATTTGGAGATTGGGTTTTTTATACTGTATTTATACCACTTTTTCTTTTTCTTTTGATTCCTTGGCCTAAAATCTTTCACAATACAAAAAACAATTCTTCAAATTTATCACTTTAATTTATTCAATGTTATAGAAATGTCGCTATTGGTGTCCTTGAATTTTTATTTTTTTTATAAAACAAGTGGTAAATATTCATTAAGAAATCATATCTATATTATGCCTAATATAAATTGAATACTACGTACAGTTCTCTCCCCTGCCCTGACTGCTTGAAGCCACCAAATGGAGTCTGAGGTGTGATCATGTCATAGCAGTTTATCCTGAAATTACAAAAGAAGAGTGAATCTTTGATGGTTTTGAAAATCACTAGTTTGAACATTTCTATTCCAGATATGAACATAATGGAGCAGGGATGGACTATCTAAAGTCACAAAATAAATTAAATTAAATCCCTAATGTAAAATGTTTGCTTTAAGGAAATTGGTATATTGTATAATGTGTGGAAGGGTCTAACACAAGTGTTTTTAGTGTTAACATTTCTATCGTGGACCCCAGTCTAAATAGTCTATAGATTAAACTATAGTTGCCTGTATCCTATTGTGAGCTGTAGTGTGACCCTTTCCCTACCACGACACGAGGAAAGTAGTACCTTTTTGGTACTCTTATTTATAGATACAATGTACTTTGTAATCCTGTTTTCTATCAATGAGAGAATTCAAATACAATGAATTTGATAAGAAAAACCTGATTTGAGGAAAAAAGTCAAAACCAAATTAAAAAATAAACATTTCAATATCAATACACTTGCTGCGGCTATCATTGCTACGAAGCTTTTATTTTTCTAAAATGTTTTTTTAATTGAAAGTAAATAGATTCTAATATAATTTATTGTACTAAGAGCATGCAGTTACTTATATTGAGGAACACGTAAAGTAAGGGAATATGGATTACTTGGAGGGGGAGGTGTGTGGGTAAAGTAACATAAGAGGCACAGTAGTCTAATGGTAGAACGCCGGGCTCGTGACCGAGGGGTTGCGGGTTTGAGTCATGGCACGGCACTGTGCTGTATCTCTGAGCAAGATACTTTACTCCGCTTGTTCCAGTCTACTCAGCTGTAAATGAGTATGTGGTTGGGCATGTGCTAGAATTGTTGAATGCTAGCTGTGAGCACCGGAATGCCAGCACCGGCTGTATGCTCCCCAGGGAGTTAAGAAAGATATTGGCTGGTTTCAAAGGCCCTATAACCACGGATAATAACTTGTGAACCGCTTTGAGACGACCTACAAACTAGGTTGTGATAAAGCGGTATATAAGAACCTCAAATTATTATTATTATTTTTATAACAAATTCTTAATCAAGGAAGATGGGAGACATACCAGACACTGCCAGCATCCACATTCTGGGCAAACATCATGGCCTTGTTAATGTCTTTGGTGATGACCCCAGCAGCCAGACCGTACTTTGTGCTGTTGGCCTTCTCTATTGCTTCATCAAGGTCCTTAAACTTTATGATGGTCTGGACAGGTCCAAAAATCTACAACATGTAACATTAACTTAAACAGAGAAGTGCAAGACTTACATGTAAAACCGTATGTTATTAACCCTAATAAATAACTCATCCTGTATCACATCCTGGATGTGCCAGACAAGTGGCCTCATAAACTTAAATAGTACTAATATTAATACCCGGCCTCCTCTGCCCCTGCCGACGCATTATTATATAAAAAAAATCTCGTCGTCAGAAAACTACGTTAACGCAGCCAAACATTATATTATACAGTGTTCATACACTTTATAAGAATGCTTGTTAATTTTCTTTCACAAACAGATAGCCATACCCAAAATCACATGACATGCTAAAACCGGATTTCCTATACCATTTTCGTATCTCAATATACATTTTATTTGTGGCCTTATTCATCTTTTTACTTGTACACTAACACTATGAAAGAAAAAATTCTCCTTTTTTTCAGCCTAAATAAAGCAGAAAATGTGCCAAAACTGATTGTGATTGTGATTGTGATTCCATCTTACTGTCTATGACATTTTGCAGTACGTTGTGCCTTCATGTTTATTTCATTGTTGGCACCAATCATTTATTTCAAGGAAATCTATTTAATAAAATGCTTTTCTTGTAAAAACAGGTCTGTTTTATTGTACCTCAATCACTTTATGGAGTTGCAGGATAAATACAGAATGTTAATTTTTTTTAAACTGTAGGATGATCATTGGGCTCATGACAGAAAATTACTTGGTAAAAAAACCTTCTAATTGAAGACACTAAACCTGAAACCCTTATCTATATTCAAAATAATCATAGTTTAATTTACATTAAAAAAAACTTTGCATGTGCTCACCACAGGGAAGACTATCATTTAAATTTGGTTAAAAATTACAATTGATTGTTAGCCCAAGACCATTAAAATCCTAGCAATCTGATTAAGGACAGCAAGCTTTCCATTGAAATAGGTAAAAAAAAGATATAGTAATTAAAATTCACTGAATAAATAACCGAAACCATTGGGCGTGATTAAGTGCCATTAAGTATTGATGAAATGTTGAAAGTAATTGATATCATTGGAAAAAAATATTACTGTACTACAATTTTTGATAGGGTTGTTTTAATTATTTTTTCTGATTTTAATGCATATTTAATGGAAATTTGATTAAATGTAAACAGTATTAATGTAAACAGTTACTAACTCAGATATTGCTAAATTTGTATCTATATATTTGTATGTCTTACCTCCTCCCTAGCTATCTTACCTCCTCCCTAGCTATCTTACCTCCTCCCTAGCTATCTTTTCTCCTACCTAGCTATCTTACCTCCTCCCTAGCTATCTTACCTCCTCCCTAGCTATCTTCATTTCATTGGTTACATTGGAGAAGACAGCTGGTTTGATGAAATATCCTTTGTCGCCATGACGCTCACCACCAAACTCCAGCTTGGCACCTTCAGCCTTCCCTGCCTCCACATAAGACAAGATCTTTTTAAACTGCTCCTCGTCTACCTACATGTATTAAAAATTGAGTTATTTAAATGGATGACCTTAATTGGCAAGATATCAATCAAAATTAGCTTAAAAAGTCGTTGAGAACTAATTTGATGTAACAAAGCAAACGACCCTGTCTATACCTAAATATAAAGTATATAAATTATGATATGAAACTCAAATTTTAATATGTATATTTCAAGAGGACTAGAAGCAAGACCCAATACCATCCCCGTGGGAATATTTTGTTGGGTGCCAAATTTGTAACAGGAGAAAGAGAAATGCATGGTAGGCAGGGATTCAAATTAAACCCAGCAATCGACCCAGTCTAGTTCCACTACATCAGTACATTGTACCATCGTCGCTAACACAGCCTTGGGAGAACATAGAGTTCAACCCATATCCCAAATACTAAATGTGAGTACAAAAACTGTTTATATTGAAAACCCATCCTTACGAGGACAATATGAGTACAGGTAATATTTAATAAAATCTGACACCATAGATTACGCCACAGCTTACCTGTGGTCCTTGTTGTGTGGCATCCTCGAATGGATCACCCACCATCCTAAACTCTGCCATCTGTTTAGATTTCTGCACGAACTCGTCATAGATACTCTCCTCTACAAATGTGCGGGACCCTGCACAGCAGTTCTGTCCATGGTTGTTCATGATACCAGCGTGCGCCCAGTAAACTGCTGCATCAACTGTTTCAAAAACATGGCGTAGTGTATTATGAAAAGTTCTTTTTACACAACCAATAAAAAATTCTATGTGACATTTCGATGACTAGTACGATATGTACACTGTCACCTTCATCAGACAAATGACCAGTGAAGCGTATGCACACAAAGGTGTAGAATGTATACAAGTTGTCTATAAAATCGATGTTGATTTGGCTATGCTGTAAGCGTATGTACAACAGTTATTATACATGTACCGAAATGACTCGATTCAGCTACGCCTTTTTGTCTGATGATGGTGACAGTGTACTAGTCATAGAAACGTCACATAGAAAATTATATTGGTTGTGTAAAAAGAACTTTTCATAATCCATACTTACCAACCTGAAGAAAGTTTTTAGAAATGGTGGAGTGTATATTTACTGCTCTTGTTTTAGAGAAATGTATATCTGTGTCCACAAGATGATTTATTTTTTACTGAATATAAGAGATTAATCTTTGTGAAACCAATGGAACAAGACAGATCTCCCAAATACCAGGGTAGTACAGGTACAATGTACAGTATGCAGGTTATGCACCAATAGATCTCTACCTTCAATTCCCACATTAAAAGGAGTGTACATGCTCATGTATTTGCAATTGTATTACAGTTCAAGCAAACGATACCTCTCTATAAAACTGTCAGTTTATTACTTAAAACTTCACAATAAGTTTAATTTTTCAAAATGTCTGAAAATGTCATTTTTTCTGTTTTGCATTCTGTGCTTTAAGGCACTTATTCCTTTTGAACTATATTAAGCATTTCTCAGTGGTATGTGCAGTTTATAGAAATAAAAAAATGAACATACATTGTACTTTGATATGGGAGGCCAGTTATAGACATTTTATGTATAGTATACATGTAGTACACTACATGTGGCACGAAACAAATTTAATATAATTGTACTTTTCTTGTGGTGGAAGGCCAGCTAGTTTATCACAGATTTTTTTAAGTTGGAGAAGTGGGACATTAGATCAGTACCAGCACATAGGTCGTTACCAACCTCCTGTTTCTTATAATCACTTAAAGATGGACGAATGTATTAAATATCAGCCTTAAAAATGGAAGACCTGATGGGGTTTTAACGCAACAGTAAATGTTATGGTTGAGAGTGTAGATGCATGTTAATGTCTGAACTGAACATTTGGATGTCCAACTTTTAAGGGAGCTGACAAAAATCCCTTTCTGACATACTATCTGAGTCTGCGAAGATGACGAGTGGACTTTTGCCTCCGAGCTCCAGACTGACCCGCTTCAGATTACTGCATCCTGCCGCTTGCATCACCAGCTTTCCGACCTGTAACACAAACAGATCAGCATATACCTGTAGATATTTTGACAATACTGACAACTCTAAATATGTACACACCACTACACACTGTAATGTTGTTTCATTTGTTATGACACCAATTTATGGTGGAAATTTAACAAGATAAGTTTTCAAGTCTAAAACCTCCAAAATCTAGACAGAATACTTTAATGTGTAGATGGTCTCCCATCCAGCTACTGACCACGCCTAACGTTGCTAAACAAGTGAACACGTCACAGGGTTATACCGCACGACAAGAAAAAGCTAGCCTGCCAGTAAGACAGTATTTCCACCCCCCCCCCCCCCCCCCCCCTCTTTCTTTTGACTGCTTTACACTATTCCCCCTTCCGACAGGTCTGGTTGTGAGATTTGACCTGCAGAATCCTTTTGGTTCGCCTTGTGTCCCAATGCACCGTCCCTAACCCTTTCACCACTGTAGACCATAATGGACTCATCCAGATCAATGCATAGTAGAGTCTATTAAAGTTGCATAGGGGTGAAAGGGCTTAACATCAGGAACTGCTGTAACATGGTTCCACAGGGTCACTACGCTGCTACCAAATGTAACCTGCGAGCGGTCACTTATCAAGCCACTGAATACGCTTGATGTTGCTAAACAAGTGATCTCATCACAGGGTTATGACTCCATCACTGGAAAAACTAGCTTGCCATTAAGGCAGTATTTCCCCCTCCTATTTCCCGACTGTAACAATACTCAACCAGCTGGGTACTTGGTATACATGACCATTGCTTTCAGTGTAGATATGCAGACTTGAATTTCGTGTACATATAAAGCAATGGTACATGTATATTATGCACTATGTAGGTAAAGAGTATTATACAAGTATGGACTTTTGTGCTGGTGAATGTGATGTGATATGAACATGAAAAGCGATTCGCTGAGGTTCTAACTGCGCATATCGCTACGACAGGTTCCGGGGAATTTCCATATTCCAATATTCACCGGATAACCAGTCTACATGAGTTTTTGAGGACTGGTCACGTGCATAGGATCCGACCAATGTGATTGCAAGAAATGTTCAAGCATATAATAAAAATTAATTAATATTCAAACATATTTGCTTGATACTTATTCTGCTGCCCTGTTTTCCCCTTGAGATCTATTGGTAAGACACAGCTACAATGAAGATTCTACTAAATTGTTATTTATATTGTTACAATATCTTTATTACATGTGACAGTACTTACTCTTTGATATGTAAAGGTATAAACTCACCTCTGTAGAGCCAGTGAACGCGACCTTGTCCACATGCATGTGTTCCGCTATGGCAGCCCCTGCTGTCGGTCCGTAACCAGGGACAACGTTTACCACTCCTGCAGGGAACCCTGCCTGCAAGGTTAGTATAGACAATCAAAAAACCATCAAAATATAAAATTAATACAGTGTTTTAATCTTGATGTTTTTGATTTTTACATTAAATTACTTCTAGGGCAAAATGTTGATGAACAAGCAAATTCGTGAAATTTTTATCCCCCGCTTGCAAGACATATTGTAGGTTAACATTATTGAGGTTAGGTTTAAACATGTGAGTATGGTGCTGTTGAGACATAATGTATAGCTTGACACTTGAAGAAAAAAAAAAAAAACTTTACCTCATTGATTATTTGTAAATATGCACAAATCAGATCGGTTGGCAAACTTAGCATGAAGCGGATGTGCATACAGAGTTTGGTTGTAACATCTGAACAATATCTACAGCAATTATCACACGTAGTTATTGCACGTAAACGAAGCATGGCAGATAATGAAGTTTTTCATTATTCAAGGGGCTATAACTCCGCCAAATAGGGTCCGCTGAAAGTGGTCATCGAACCTGTCAGTTTCACTTCAACATTTAATTTCAACAGTGGTGAAACCTCAGACCACACTCTGGGTGATTTCAAGAAATTCTCCAGGAATTACAAGAATTGGACAAATATGATAATAACATAGATGGCTTTTAATGAAAATTCATATATTTTGTTTTATAGGGGGAAGGGGAAGGGGGGTCTCAATCCTAGAAAACCTGCCACTGTGCACAATAGTTCATAGAAAGGTTTTTTATACCAATTCACAAATGCCAATAGGTAGTCTATAGCCAGTCGTTTCCATTTGTTCTTTCCCTTCTTACATATTTTTGAATTGTTGTGGTGACATTTAGTGTGAAATAGCCTATATGTAAGCAAAACAACATTTGTACCTCCTTGAGAAGAGAGGCACAGTAGAGGGCGGTGAGTGGTGTCTGTTCGGCAGGTTTTAGGACCACAGTGTTACCGCAGGCCAAGGCTGGGCCCAGCTTCCATGCCATCATCATAATTGGATAGTTCCACTGCAAACATGTACCCAAATATAACTGCATAGGAGTTTCACGAATAAAAAGAAATGGAGCCAAAGAAACCATAATTGAAGTAAAAGATATTTTGCCTCTATTAGAATATTTTCTAGAAGTGAGTTAAAAAGTGATTAGCATACTTTTAAAAGTCACGTTCGACTGTATTTCTTTATTAACAATCAATGCTTAGAAATTATGTATAGTGATCATTAATCTCTTAATAATTTCATGAGAACAGAACTGCTCTCTTTCTTCATTAAAACAAATTCAAATGCAGCTAATTTGACAACAATCGATCATGAGACGGAGTGAAATATCAACACAACTTTACGACCACTGACACATGTAACCCTACGCAAAGTAGCTTAGAGTTCACAATTACCAGATAAAAATACAGGTTTCACAATGACTGATGATTATAGTAACCATGTTTAATTTTGAGTTGTAAGGGACACCAACCAGTTAATTACTGCCTGTCTTTTTTTGACAGTCTAAGCAAGTAATAATAAATATTTAAATAAATTTAACAAACATCTACAAAGAGCTGAGGTACTTTTTACATGTTTACTTTTTTAACATTCACAGCAGCTTAGAAAACCATGTTACTCTCAGAAATACGGGATTTTCTTCAGATTTTGATTGGGAAAAATGTGCTGTGAATCCTGACATCACTAGCGCAGATTGTAATATATTCCTACCGGTATAATCTGTCCACAAACACCGATCGGTTCATGTCTCGTGAAGGTGAACAAGTCTCCATCTGAAATTTAGACAAAAGTGTATTTCATTATAGACGAATTAATGATCTTTTATAATCGTTTTTTCAATTCATGCAGCATAAAAATATTTTCAACACAAAAATATATACATGTACAAATAAATTTATTGAAACACTTTTCCTAACAATTTTTTTATGAAGGCATTTTTTATCAAAGTCTTGCATGCATAAAATAATGTGAAACCATTTATCATGCAATTAAGTACCTTGTAATATTTATCAGGATGCATCACGATTTGACGAAGTAATCAGGTCGCTATCATTATGTAATACAGGTTCACTGGTTTACTAGTTCCATTATTTAAATAAAGAGCAAAAGAGGTATTCTCCCTATCCGAGTCAGTGGGAAGCAGCTAGGTGTTTTTTTTCGTATTTTATCAGGGTGACACTAGGGTTGACATGCCATAAATATGCAGTTACCTGAGGGGATGGTCTTGCCACTGTTTTTGTCTGCCCAGCCAGCATAATATCTCATTACATCTGAGCTGGCATGGATGTCATCCAGAGAGTCGGCATAGGGCTTACCATTGTCAACAGTCTCTAGGCTCTGTAATAATACCACGACATGATGAAAAGGCACTAGTGCCTACCCTGTACACATGAACAGATGTGTCATAAATCCCCGCCCCACAGGCCATAGTTTGGGTCGAGGATCTGTGTGCCACACCTGTTTGTATCCACAACACTATAATTTTGATTTAACATTTATCCCTTTCCCCCCTATGTAACTTTAGTAGACTCTACCACGTGTTGATATGGAGGAGTCCATTATGGTCTACAGTGGTGAAAGGGTTATACACTAGGTCCTTTGATATGTATCTAAGCAAATATCTGACGCTGCCAAAATGAATGATTAAGTGGGAGAGGGAAAATATAGTGATTCCAAGTGTTGCAATGGGTGTAACATATCAATATTGGTCTCTTCAATGTCATGACAGTAGGAAACCTCTGACCATGCCCACACAACTCCAACAACACAGGTGGAGTATACAATGGCCTGGGGTGGGTGTTGTGGTATCTGTGCTGTAGCATTCAAGTGAGATGGCACTATAAATGATATTGTTGGAAGTACGGTCCCACTACAAACATAACACATTACATCTCCAGCATACACACTGGCATACACACATAGGGAGATATTAGCCAGATGGCATAGGACTAGTAGCTAGCACCTGATAAGGCAGCTGGTGCAAATTCCTCAATATTGATTGTTTGAATTGTATATCAATGTACTGTAAAGCGCTTTAGAATGGCTTATTCTAGCTAGATTGGGCGATATATCAAACATTGTATATTATTATTCCGAGAACCCCACATAGATTATAGTTGTCTCTGGTTGTGATACACGTACAATACCCGGTGAATACAGCAGGTTTACATACCACACCCAATTGTGTAAGGCAGATATATACCATTCAATAGTTTTGTATTATTTCCTCAATGAAAAATACCAACATCGGCTATTTGGCTACATAAAAGTCTGGCTATTATCATTACTTTATATGTGCATGCATTACCCTATCAAGCCCATTTGTTTTATATTTTGTTTTTTTATTCCAATCATCCAAATTTATTCTTATCATAAGATAGATCTGCAGGATCTAACCTTAGTTTGAATGCTTTTTGGAGAAAATTTCTTTTAAATGTAGAATAAATGTCATTGAAATCTTACCGCGATGTAGTCCTCATCTCTGTCCAGGAGGTCGGCAAATTTAGACAGGAGTTTTCCCCTCTTTGATGCATCCATCCTCCTCCAGGGGGAGCCACGTTTGACTGCGGCCCTTGCCGCTTCCACAGCCTTATCAACATCAGCCTGGTTTAGTGTGCAATGAGAAAACGACATTTACCAGTAATTTAGTTATCTTATTCCCCTTCAAACTGGCCTCTCTTGACCCCTAACACATTTTTTTTTAAATTTGAATCTTACATACATGAATGAACTCCCTGTATTTATCTATATTAGCTAGATGTGCATCTACTTGTGAAAAGGAATCAATGATTATAAAAATTCTAATGAGGAAAAAATACTGAACATAGTATATATATGCATGCAAAAAGCAATTGCTTTGAAGAATTTATTAACTTTTCTCTTCTTACTGTGTTTGAAAATGTGTGTTTTCATACTATTGATTGTTTTCTATTAGGATTCCAGTTACTTTCAATTCAAACCTAACTATAGTCTTGTTTTGGAAAACAAATTGACTGCAAAATACATGTTCGTCATTTTGATTATTACAGTACATAGATATGCACAGCAGAACTCCGCCCCAAAGTGTTATTTTTGTTGTTTTCCTGTAGGTTATCTGCCTCTGGCCACAAAGTGTTATTTTGTTGTTTACCTTATCTGCCTCTTGGACATCACAGATCTTGTCCCCAGTACATGGGTTGATGGTAGGGAACACCTTCCCACTCACGGAGTCACAAAACTCATTGTTGACAAATATCTGTAACACAGAATAGGACGCTGATACATGATGTATATACATGTATGTAAATAAAAATAGGGAAACATTATTTCTCGAAAAAACACTATATGTTTCCCTGAATCACTGAAAATCATGCAAGGAGTAAATTAACATTTTATGTTAGGCCAAACAAAAATGTTTGGTGTTTCCCGTAACCCTACCTACCTTCAACTTTTTAAGGCAATTTTTAAAGAGGCACTGTTTAAGTCAAGATCACTCCGCAATAAAAACTACGTAAAATTATTTGTTAAAATATCATTTGTTGCTTATACCTACCTATACCCCTACCCTTAATTTTTCCAACATGTTACAGGAAACACATATATTGTTTATCTGGCCTTACCCATACAAATGTATGAACCCAACTTTCGTTTGATTTCTTTGGTCTGACTTTTATGATGTTATGTACCTCCAATGGTGACATCATGATTCCAAACAAATATATCCCTAATGAGAAACAGAAATTGTGCATTTCTATACAGGTTTTCCCGATATATTGTTAATGTTTTCGGACAAAAAGTCCCCAAACTTGTGATGACTGGGTAATTATCATGTTTATCTAAATGTGTTCTCTCATTATAATTATTAGTCACTCAGTGAACTAGGTGTACAATCTGAAATTTAACAAGTTATATTTTATAACCACCCACCATTTGTTTGAGATACTTTATGTTCATGAGCAGTGAATAATTTGTCAATGAATTTGACCGTGATAAAGAAGTCTCTATCATAGACAGGAAACTACGGTAAAGAGGTGGTCAATATAGACAGCGATAAAGTTAACAAGATGGTCGCTATAGACAGGTGGTATTGACAGCAAGGTGGTTACTACAGTCAGGTGGTATTGATAGCAAGGTGGTTACTACAGACAGCTGTGGCAGGTTTTAACTGTACATTTGACCATTAGAGAGGGATTCAATTTAATTGATAGAGTGGCATGCTAGAAAGCTAACTATAGTGGTTAGACTGCAGGGCATTATACAAACTAGGATAAGTAATGGGTCAAACACAGCCACACAGACCCCCCCCCCCAATAAATTATGTTCATCTTTTCCCGTAGAATAAACATTTCTCACAAATTTTTATAATTGAATTTTTAAAAAGAAAACATGGATATTCTATTTATAAAATATTTACAAGTTTAATGTACCTGTTTCAGTGTATTTTATTTTTGGCTTCCTCTAGATTGGGTGTTAACGATAAGAAGGAAATCTAAAAATAACATATTTACCATTTGACATGCTTGTTGATCCCCGAATATCATTTCAAATATTTTCACATAAGGGTAGCAATGTTGAAGATGCATGGTTACTATAGACAGGTACCAAGAGTGAAGATTCATGAGAGCATGTATATAGAAAGGGGACAATGGCAAAGAGGTGGACATAACAGACAGGTGACAATTACTGAGGTGGAAACTATGGACTGGTGGTTATCACAGAGGTGGTCACTATAGACTGCAGGTGGCCATCACAGAGGTGACCACTATAGACAGGTGGTCATCACAGATGTGACCATTATAGACAGGTGGTCATCACAGAGGTGACCATTATAGACAGGTGGTCATCACAGATGTGACCATTATAGACAGGTGGTCATCACAGAGGTGACCATTATAGACAGGTGGCCATCACAGATGTGACCACTATAGACAGGTGGTCATCACAGATGTGACCATTATAGACAGGTGGTCATCACAGAGGTGACCATTATAGACAAGTGGTCATCAAAGAGGTGACCATTATAGACAGGTGGTCATCACAGATGTGACCACTGTAGCAGATGTGACCATTATAGACAGGCGGTCATCACAGAGGTGACCATTATAGACAGGTGGTCATCACAGATGTGACCATTATAGACAGGTGGTCACCCTAGAGGTGGCCACTATAAACAGGTGGTCATCACAGAGGTGACCACTATAGACAGGTGGTCATCACAGATGTGACCACTGTAGACAGGTGGTCATCACATATGTCACCACTGTAGACAGGTGGTAATCACAGAGGTGACCATTATAGACAGGTGGCCATTACAGATGCGGCCAATAAAGACCTATTGGTGGACTTCACAGAGGTGACCATTATAGACAGGTGGCCATCACAGACACGGCCAATAAAGACCTATTGGTGGCCTTCACAGAGGTGACCATTATAGACAGGTGGCCATCACAGAGGCAGTCACTATAGACAGGTGGCCATCACAGAGGCAGCCACTATATACAGGTGGCCATCCTAGAGACAGCCACTATAGACAGGTGGCCATCACAGACACGGTCAATAAAGACTGATTGGTGGCCTTCACAGAGGTGACCATTATAGACAGGTGGCCATCACAGAGGTGACCATTATAGACAGGTGGCCATCACAGAGGTGACCACTATAGACAGGTGGCCATCACAGAGGCAGCCACTATAGACAGGTGGTCATCATAGAGGTGACCACTATAGACAGGTGGCCATCACAAATGTGACCACTATAGACAGGTAGCCATCACAGAGGTGGTGCTATAGACAGGTGACCATCACAAAGGTGACCACTATAGACAGATGGCCATCACAGAGACAGCCACTATAGACAGGTGGCCATCATAGAGGTGACCACTATAGACAAGTGGCCATCACAGAGGCAGTTACAATAGACAGGTGGCCATCACAGAGGTGACCATTATAGACAGGTTGTCATCACAGATGTGACCATTATAGACAAGTGGTCATCAAAGAGGTGACCACTATAGACAAGTGGCCATCACAGATGTGACCACTGTAGACAGGTGGTGGCCATCACAGAGGTGACCACTATAAACAGGTGGTCATCACAGAGGTTACCACTATAGACAGGTGGTCATCACAGAGGTGACCACTATAGACAGGTGATCATCGCAGAGGTGACCACTATAGACAGGTGCCCATCACAGAGGTGGTTAATCTGTTATGGCTAAGAAAGTAGTAACAAATGCCACCATGCAGGTATATGAAACATGCTAGCCACAACACAGGTAACATTGGTGAACACAGATAACAGCTGTCCGGAGGTGGTCCCAATCGATCAAGTGGTAGTCTTGCTAAAGTCCGGTAATCGATTCAGGTAGACATGTGTAGCGGAACTGGACAGGGTTTCATTACATAATGACAGAGTATATGTAAGTTACGATAAAAATAACAGTAACAGACTGATGTTATTCAATGTATGTACTTATTAAGCTAGCTCAGCTGTTACGAGCAATATGACATTACCACTACGGCCGATGCACAAGCACTGAAGCAGGTCGGCCATACAATTTGCAGTTAGTAGATTTAGGTCAACATCAGTTACATGTATATATGCACAATAGCCACTATTCACAAATACTCTGTAGAATCAACATGTACACAATCCTACAACGCAAAATTAACCCTACCTGTGTGAATTTGATTTCTGGATTCCGTTTGGTGTCAGTCATCTTTGACCTATATCTAGATGTACATGTACGATACGACTGTGGGTTGAAGGCCACTGTCTGGTGACTCCGACTCAAACAGTCCTTTACTTGAGATTGAATTCCTTGTACATATCAAACTTTCTCCATGCTATTTATAATTAAAATGCCGTTATTTGTAAGGCTATACACTGAACAAGTGTTAATTCATGGATAAATTATTCCGTCGTTCTTCCGGAGCGTTGTTTTCGAAATTATCAAAGTAAGTTAAGTCCGCAACGACTAAATAATGGTAAGAATGACGCACTACAGTGTGCTTTCGCTTCAGCAAATAGGGATTCAGCCCAACCCTTAAGTACAAAAGCTACCAATGATAGTATGTTTTTAAGTACCGATATGAATCCTATAGCCTGTCACTTTCATAACCACTATGCTATTGCGTTTAGATTATTCTTTGCGAGTTCATTTGTTGACGCTGCGGTTATCTCCCTTTACCCATATAACTTACCTGTGTGAATTTTATCTCGGGGTCACGAATGGGTTTCGGCGGGGCTATCGTTAAGTCGGGGTTGACAAGACACTATTCGGCTACAGCTAAGTGTGTCCAAACTGAAAAAAATGTCTCCGTTGTATACCCCTTGTCGTATGCCAAGTCCTTTTATACCAAACACGATCTACCAAAGGTGTAATGTTTAAAAATAGATGTCATAGCTGTATTTAAATTATGAAAGGCCTATCATACCTATACCATGCGACAATAGTGTTCCGAATATTCTGGTAGCCATATTTGGAAAATCCAGCCAAACTGCAGAATTAATATAGAAAATGACGAATATATGAAATCCGTCTTTTAAAAATAAATTTTGCTGATGCAGATTACTACCGCAGTCATAACATATATACAAGCCTACAAATACATACTAGTAATGTGTACTTGTGACAAAATTATTGAAAAGTTGAAATGTAATAAACGAAAATTACAAATAAGGAATATGATTATCGAAGCAATAATACCAACACATAACTTGATTTTGACTGTTGCAAAATGCCTCATAAGTCATTTTACTGCAGTATACATACGACTAACAATAAGGAATTCTTTATTTACGCCAATACAGTATTTTTATACATTACGGCTTAAGAGCAATCACAAAAGTGTCACGAACATGGTCAGAATACCAACAGACCATAGGCAGCTTTTCTAAAATAAATGGGTTTTTTTTTAATTATTTCCCCATAGTCACGTCTAAACTTTCAAAATCAAGATATATCTAGGCACCAAAATCCAACTTAAGATGGAGTGGCATCTGCAGTAAAGCAATTGCAACTGTATGTTTCTTGTGGAGAAATGTAAACAATTGCTCAACTGCTTTTAAAACAATAGACAAACATTAAAACAATCATTTGAGTCTTCGTGTATTATTTAGTACCCTCACGATCAAGCTGAAAAAAAAACAATATTGAAATGACCTCACTTCTTTCTTATTTTGCGAACTTTCTGTAGACCGAGTTGCTACTTATCGATGTCATACGTGTAACACACTCATGACAGCTTCACCTGATGGCATACATGTAAGCATAGCATTGACTTTCGTATTGCTGTAGTATACTAATTTATTGAAACATCAACTTTGGGAAAGGTTCGATCCATGATACCGTGGCAAGTTCGGCCCATGCAATTCATAAAAAGTTGTGAAATTGGCGGGAAGATCTGAAGTATGTCGTCATAGTCATGCTGATTAAAAACGTGGGCCGAACTTGTTCTAAACTGCCTTTTCAAACTTCAAGGCAGGTCACATTCGGCCATCTTCCGACAGAAAAAAAAGTGAAATAATTCTCCAAATACCGGCGGACGTGTTAGTCCTTTTATTATATCCGAGAACAATCTGCTACTGGATTAATTTTAACCATTGCCGAACGCGCCTGGTCTCCCCTCGATATCCCTTTTGTTTCTACATTTTTATCCTGTGAGCTATTCGTCAGTATTTAGTATAGGCATATACTATCCATTTTCTTCTCCTTTTCTATGTGTGTGTAAGCTTGCCATCAGTTATTTAGCAAGGACCCATGCAGGCACTCATGTACAAAGTAGTCAACCAATTTATAGCAGTCCCGACATCATATCAACCTCCCCTGGCAGTAGTACGAGGAACTAGACACGGTCACTGCTTGAAGTGTGTACCATACCATTGCCGAATTAACGTTTATCGACACTCATTCTTTCCGAGAACAATCTGCTACTGGAACCTTTTACCTGAATCAGTTGTACTATCACCATCGTTGGAGGCATTCAAAACATCCATCCAGACCCTCCAACCCTGGTCCACACTGCATCCTACCTACTAGATACCAGCAATGACATGTACGGTGTAAATATGTTATGGTTTAACCATTTTTGAAATTTTGGACACTGCCATTCCACACCGCGCATGTAAGTAATTTCCTCATCAGTAAATGTCTGCGATGGATTTTGATGAGTACCCACATTGAAGTTGACGTTTAAGTAAGTCTAGCTGTACAGATTAGTATATTAAAGTCATTTTAGGAAAACACGTCACTGCAGGGGTTTAACACGCATCCTCCGCAATAAGGCATTATATTTTTAATTTGACTATAGCAACCAGTGACATCAAGTTCAGGTCAAGCAAATTTTATTTAATAGTCGGTACATGGTTAAACAAGGCAATACAAGCCTATGAAAGGCTTTTACAACCGACTATATAACAAATAAAAACGGAGGTAGCATTATATAAAACATAACAAGCATGCAAATCTATGACACTGTTGACAACACACACACATTGATAAACATATAAAAGATAGGTAGTGTGGTTCCCCATCCTTGATGATCATGATTAATTATAAATTTCTAGATAACATAAAACATTCTGGAAAACCACACTTATTACACAATGCCTTCAACAAATTTCATAAATTACAGCACATATAAATAAATACAAACATATATAAACAGCACAGATTGCATAGAAAACATACAAACCAGATTTGAATTGAAATTACAAGAAATAAAACGATGTATTATAAGCAGCACATACAATTTACACAAAATAAAACCGAAGCAACACAAATAGCACATAAAAACATATACACATAGACATTTACAAACATAATGACTAACTAAAAGCATTGAATCAGAATGGATAAAACAGCAGTGGCAGCAAAGGGAGGGAACTCATCTGCACATCGCACAGTGGCAACTTTCACCATTCCTAGTTTTTTTCCATTATTTTCCTAAAATCATTAAAAGAAGTAGATAGTCTGACATGCTATGGCAGTGAGTTCCAGTGACTATATGTTCCATACTTAACTATTCTGCTTCTAGGGACTTCTAAAATTTTACTGTATCTGAAATTATAAGATGATGTTTTTACATGAATAAAATCATATTAATAACAGGGGCTTTGTGCATTTAAATTTTTAAAAGTTTCAATAGCTAATTGTCTGAGTCTACTTAATTGTAATTTACAAGTGTTACCTTTTTCTATAAATGATCGGCTTCGTAGCTGGAATTAAAATCTTGATATACAAATTTAAGGGCTCTATAGTGTACCCTTTCAAGTTTCTGGGTGTTTGCTTTAGGGCAAAAATGCCATATGAGTGGACAGAAAATAAAACTTGACAATATAAAAGCATGATAAATGGCCTTGCGCCCCCCGAGAGTTAGAAATTTCCCGAAGCGCCCCAATACATTTACCTGCCTTGACGCTTTAGAGCAAATACTCTTCACGTGAAGATCAAAATTTAGTAGGGAGTCAATGGTCACACCCAGAAGCTTAACAGCTTCTTCACACTTAATCCGCGCAATATCACCTATGCAAAAAGAGGTACTTTCCATCTGTGGATTTTTACCAATTGTAATAGCCTGGAGCTTGTCGGGATTTGCCTTCATTTTATTGTAAGTAAACCAGTCTATGATAGTTTTGCACTTACTTTGTAATGTTTGTCTTAAAACTTCCATGTTGTTGTGTGCAAAGGACAGAGTATTGCCTTGGACATATCTTCAAGTACCAAAAAAAATGTATATATATATATACACGTGTGTGTATTGCGATAGTTGGGGTGCTTTAAATTTTCTTTAATGTTCTATTAAGACATTTCGAAATAGGAAGGACAAGCAAAAAAAGATAAGTGTTTATTGTCGAACACATAAATATATAATGCCGTATACAAGGGAATAAGATATGTGTCGATCTAAGTCCGCGGCATGCAAACGAAAAAGGAAAACATGTAGCGCGACCTACAAAACTGTAAACCGGAAATCTAGAGTTATCGTTCTTTTATTTTCATCCGGGCAACTTGTATCCAAAGCGATTCTATACACATTCTTCCGGCGGTTCATTTCTGTTGTTGCTTTATTGTACCTCTTTTATTTAGCTTCAAAATGAGCCGAGGAAGCAACAGCATCCTCAGCGAGATAGAATGGGACGAAGGTTTAAGCATGCCCGTCGCCAACGCTGACAATAAAAAACTAGAAGACCAGGTATGCAATATTCTGTGACGGTGTGACTGTCGGTCAGCCATCTGATTGCAAAAAAAGCTTTCACGGTTAATTATATCAATATATGAAAGATGAACGGTCGGTTTCTTGCTTGCATTTCATCATGTCTATTGTAATGTAGGCCCAATTTTAATTCATGGATTGTCACTCGTTTGTGATAAATTTTAATTACTGTTAACAGTATAAAAGTGCCCGATTTTAACGAGAACCTAGAATAAAAAAAACTATCCAACGCTTTGTAGCAATTGTTGGAAAAGGTGGGTTTTCTCGAATGTTGTGTATTCAGTTATTTAGTACAAGACAGAGATCATATGAAAAAACACACACCTAGCTAGTTTCACGTACATTTCATAAAGAAATGTGCCCCTAGCTGATAGAAAATGTGTCCCTGATACTCTGTTGATTAGATGACACTGTAATCCATTAGTCAGTCACGGTCAAAGGACTTTCGGGAAAGGAAATATATAAGTATATTTATTTGCTTGGTTTTTAATGAGAACAGCATTTGCAATTTAAGGTGTCAAAGTTCACAAAAAAAACACCAAGAGAATACGTGTGAATACATAATTTCTATGATAATTTTTCTGTCTGGATTCAACCAAGTGTTGGATACGCATGTCATGTGTTTGATGGCGGGATGGGGATGAGTATTGATCAGTAAACACAGATAATATGTTAGGCTGTTAGCTATTCATAATTCTATAGTGTGGGCATGGTTCCTGACTGCATGTCTGATGAGAGGGTATATTATTGAATAGTTTAAGGAATCTCTCCAACTTCCATGATTGATCATCACAGACACTTTTTAAAAAGCAATCTTTGATTGATCATGAAATGAACTGTAACAGAATAGGGTTCAGCATTCATTAAAATGTGCTGGATCCTTCAAAACATAGCTATAGACAGAATTATTGTTTGAATGTAGTTTATGGTAAACATATTAGTAAAATTGATAAATGCATAACTTTGGTAAAAACTAATAAAAAGTGGAAAACATTCTGACTGACCTACCCTATTTGATTTTGGCACGTTAGGCCACATTCAATTTAAAGTGCTGCAAAATATACCTAGCCTCATGATCAGATAAAAGGAATGTTTTTTTTTCTAGCATCCGCTGATCATGCTGACTACAATCCCTAAGAGAACATCAAAATGGTATTAACATTGTTTCGCCCTGTAGAATAAGAAAGAGTAAAATGTGTTTGTTCTAAGTAAATCAGTCCTAGAATCATGCTTTATGGTAGAAAACGTACATGTATGCACAGTGTTTAAATGGTCATGACTTATAATATATAAGAAACTGAGTTGAATATAGTAAAGAAAGTATTTAATCTTCATCTTGTATATGTGACATATGTCTTTATCAATAGGTCCAGCAAAAGCAAAGAAAGATTGTTTCAAACAAGAACAATGTGGAGGAGATTGAAGACCGACTTCATGCCATGTCTGAGCACTTGAAAAATGTTCGGCAGGAGCTCGGTCATACACAAGTGAGTAACTCTGATCACATAGCATTTACTTAATTAACAGCATGTAGTTTGAACATCACGAAGTAAGAATTCCTATGAATTCAACTATCTCAAATAAAAATGCAAAATGATAAAAGAAACCTAAACAAAATCTTGGTTGAAATATTCGCCTTAATTATATATTTTCACTTTGGGAGTAATTTTCTAACCAACTGACAAGTTGCATAAATTAAGTAAAAACATCTTCAAATAAAAATGATATATTACTCAGTGCTGCTTCAAAAGTAATTGATAGGTGGGACATTCTTGTTTATGTTATCTGGGGTCCTTAACCCTTTCACCCCTAGGTAACTTGAGTAGATTCTACCATACATTCATCTGGATGAGTCCACTATGGTCTACAGTGGTGAAAGGGTTAAAATCGTAGATTGTTCATTGGGCCATGGCATTTTAGTTTTAATGCCGTATAAGGATACATGAATATATGGAATGCCACCAAAATGAACCCTAGTTGATTTCTCATGTGGTTTTGTTGAATTAAATTAATTTGCCTGACAAAATGATATCGCTTTTATCTTACATGTAAATATAATTACAAAACAATGCAATGTTGAAGGAGAAATTGTTTACATGATTGTTGACCTCTCTATCATACAGGGTTTGACTGGAGCCAGAAACAAGGAGATTGAAACAGAAAACCATATGCTGCAAATTGCTGAGCGTGAGGAAGGGAGACTTCAACAAGAAATCAGTAAACTGGAGAAGGATCTAGAGGAGATTAAGGAGAAGAAGAACATGTTTGAGGTAAAAAAAAGTCTTATTCAAGACATCTTTTTAATTAATCTGATATGAGTCATATGTAAAATCATCCAGTTTGTAGAAATACAGCCACTGTGCTGGTGTGAATGTTGATTTTTTTGTTATATAATCTTTTAATCCTAATCAATATGTAATTGATGAAATGTGTCTAATCAATTTCAATGTTACAAGTCTAAGACAAGAAAAATGAAAACTCTTTGGGATGACTTTCATAAATAACATATGAAATTGTTTTTTAAGCAAATGTCAATAACATATTTTTCCATTGTTATTATTGTTATTTCAACATTGATGGCAGCATGTAATTGGAGAATCATTTATCAACTCCATAATACTGAAACTAATCTGATGTTATTTTCCTGTTTACAGAACAACATCTTCAAGCAGACTCAGAAGCTGGAGGAGATGAAGTCACAGATGAACTGGGATCAGCAGGCTCTGGAGGCATGGCTAGAGGAGTCAGCAAGGAAGGATGAGGATTCCATGGCCATACAGAAATACACACGTCATGATGAAAGTAAAATTAAGGTACGTGTGTATATCTGTACACCATTGATTGTTGTTGATTAAAAAAAAGTTTATAATAGACTAAAATATTAGCCATGATATGGTAGGTCTTGTAGCCAGCCTGCGTAAGTGAATGTGAATCACACAAAGTTTGACTGGAATATCCTGTTTAGAAAAGCGACATTTATCATCCAACATATATCTACTGTTAAAGTAGAATATTGGCCACAGTGGCCAAGTGGGTAAGGCATCTGACATTCTGCTACCACTAGCCCTCCACCACTGGCATGTGTAGCGGGTTCGAGACCTACATGGCTCTGTCGCTAGGTACTGGCCGTGGGTCAGTGGTTTTTCTCCGAGAACTTTGGCTTTCCTCCACAACCAGAAGCTGGCACATCCTTAAATGACCATAGCTGTTAAATAATGGGACGTAAAACACACACACACAAACAAGCAGGAATATTGGCATGTTGAAATGTCTGTGTTACGACCCTTTAAACTGATGACGCTGTGGAAATTTTCATGTTAACAATGGTTTGAAATCTAAATACTCTATAAATAAATATTAGCATAAGGACAAATTCAAGCTAATTTACTAAACGCGAAAAAATGGCAGCATTTTCACCAAAAATTTCCTCTTTTACCGTAAAGCAATCAAATAATTATATAGTCTTTATAAGACTTTGATTCATGTCACTTCAGTGACACTACTTCACAAGACCGATAACTCCCATATATCCACGCTGCCCCTAGTCCGACATCCAAACATGTAGCCAGCCAATGTGAATGTTTACTGATTCATAATTGGTTAGAAACAAAATGTTACCTGTTTCAGCCCTATAACATACAGAAATGAACAGCTCTGTTTTCAATATGTAAATATTTGATAAAACAACTTTAAATAGTTCATGCGAAAACTTCAGTGTCCATTTCCCAGACTTCTGAACTCTTGAATAGATACAAATATTAAAGGTGATATCATTTTTTGTCTAGTTTTCAGGCAGTAAGGAAAATAGAAAAAAAAATAGAAATTAATTCTATGAATTAAGACACATTATATGATATGAAGTAGTTGAACATTCTTGTGTTGTACCAGTTGTCTCTGTTCTATTTGACCATTTATTCATATATCTGAGTCTGTTTCTTGTAGGAACTTTCGTTAAGGATGGTCAGACTGACAGAGGAGAGCCAAAAGAAGAGAAAGGTCCTTGACCATGAGACAACAGAAACGTTGACCGCCCAGATTGAGTTGGACAAGACAGCAGAGGACTTCAGACAGGCGCATCAGGAACGTCAGGAACTCATTGAGCAGTGGGAAAATACTATTGAACAGATGCAGAGGCGAGATCATGAAATGGATTTATTGGCTGCTGTAAGTGTACTTAGATTGACTGTAATTTATCTGAGTTTCATACTGAGTAAATGTGCACAACAAGTGCTCTTTAAAAGATAAAGAAGGAAAGAGATCCAACACTCCTAATGTAGGAAGTGTAGTAATTTTCTCGGGTGGAAGCTGTTCTTGTGGCGTGAAACCTTTCTTTCCTTTTTAAGTGCCCTTTAACCCTTTCAGCACTGTAGACCATAATGGACTTGTCCAGATCAATGCATGGAAGAGTTTACTAAAGATACATAGGGGTGAAAGGGTTAAGGAATGAAGGGTTGAATTTTATTGTCATTTGGGTATTAAATGCAGTGGGAAAGAAACACATTCTTTGAAGTCCGATATCACTCCATGGTAAACAGCTGTGCTACTGCTAAAGAAACAACAAGCACAACAAATTTTGACTAATAATGTTTACTTTTAATAACTTTATTACCTATTCTTTTCGTGTTAAATTTTCTGAAGAAAGTGTGTGTAGTATTTTATATTTTTTTTTATATTTCAGCAACTAGCCCGTGTTAAAGCGGAAGTGAGAAGGCGCGAAGAGGCTATTAAAGAAAAGATGCAATTTCTGGAGGGAGAGGTAGACAATAACAAGGAACAGGAGAAGAAGATCTCCATTGCCGAGCGTGTGGCTGCCAGGACGAGAATAGACCACCAGGAGGCCGAGACCAACAGGGTTCAATTCTCTGACGAGGTTAAAAATATTACAGTGACTTCAATATTATGTTTCACTTATACTTCCTGAGATGTGTATTTGCCAATTTTACTGAAAACAGTAATATTTGAATAGTTCATATTATAATTGCTCACCTTTATTGATTCCTGTGATCAAATCCCACTTTCATCATTTCTAGTTGGATGCTCTCAAAAGAACAGTCGACCGTACTGCCAATGACCTTGAATCCACAAGGTCCCAGGTCACATATTTGAAGAAAGATGTCCAGGACAAGAGTAATAGGTAATTTATATCTATATAGGTCTGTTTCCATATCAATCATAAATGATGTTTAAAAAATTAGATTTTCAAGTGTTTCACTACATTGATGATTGATATTTTACAATAAGTTTTGGACAGACATCCTGGTGATGTATTTAAATGAAATGAACATTTTATCGTACAGACTGTCTGCTGGATAACCAAACTACTCAGTAGTACATGTAGCGGACGTAAAACCAATCAATCGATCAATATCATACAGAAATATTTTTACAACTGCTTGACATAGTTTCTTATTGCAATGATAAGAAAACATCTGTTATCTGATCATTGAACATATTTCTCTTTCCATGATCATATGAAACATAATTGCATTTGTGTAAAAAGGCCAATAAGTTATAAATGTGAATCCATAGACTTCAGCAAGCCAAGGAGCTAAGAGAGACATTGGTGGATAAGTTGAAGATAGCAACCGAGTCTACGCTGAGTGCAGAAGAGCGTGCTGCACGATTTGATGAGATGTTGCAGGACGAGGATCGAACACAGGCGGAGATTGATCAGCAGCTAAAACATCTGCGTGACCTTCAGTTCCACAAGACACAGGAGCTGCATGACTCTAAGATCAAGGAAAGGAACACAGAGGCAGAGATTCAGGTACATCCTTATGTATTTACACCAACTGGTTTGTTACAGTAAAAAAATACAAAAACCTCGATATTTTAATAGCAATAATATTGAATTCGTAGAAAGTAATAAAAGGATTTTATGAAATAGGGTTGACTTGCTTCAGTAGAAACATTTTTTATCATCAAAAATCTTTCACTATGTTTGGGTGGCGACATCATCGGTGACGTCTTATGGCAGTATCTTTTGCCGCACATTCACTAAAATAATATTTCATGAAACAAAAAATGTATTGAAATTTGGATCAAAGATACAAAAATTAAGTTCTGGCAACCTGTTAAAGGTTAGCCAATTAGGCCAATACCATTGTCTGTGTGTTATCTATTATTTAAGTGAGCAGAGCTTCGCTGCATGTTATAGATTAGGGCTAGTATGATGCACGATAGCTGGTGCTTCAGTGGGTTCTTTGAAGAATTTAGGAGGTACGGAAAAGGACTTTTTTTAAAAGATTTTAGTTTTGAGATTTTGAAAGGTTGTGAAAAAGCGGTATATGAGAACCTCAAGTTATTATTATTATTATTATTATTAACACGTTGTAAATTTATATTATAGGGGAGCCAAGCCGCTATCAGGAACTTGAACAGTAAGATTACTAAACTGGACACAGATTCCCTCAAACAGCAGGAAATTATATACAATCAGGTAAATGCTCTCAACAGGCTCTATTTTGATCTTTTTAAAGCATTTTATAACATATATTCATGTATTCATAGTGTGACCCCCAATCTCACTGCTAGTACTTCTATCAGACTTCTAGGTTTTAAAATCTTGCAATACAATAGATATTTTTTGATATTGTGAAATAATTACTTTACACATTTTCCAAGCTGAAACAAGTGCGCTATCCACTGCACCACCTGACCACCCTAGTCTGTTGTCACTAGTTTGAAAAACTTGACAAAAGAAGAAAGACAAACAAATTCTTAAATCACTAATGTTAAAGACTTGTTAAAGACTTAACAAAATAGTAGTAGCATAAAAAATGTAACTATTCTTTGCTCTTATATTTTTGTTTTCTTGTTTAACAGGATTTTGCTGTCCAACAAGTAGAGAGAAGGATCAATCGAATCCAGGGAGAGCGCAGCAATGAGGAGAAGGTCCATCTGGAAAGCAAAATCAAGGATCTCACGGACGATCTAGAGCAGAAAAATAACACTCACACCCTCCTTACCCTACAGCTTAAACGACTTCAGGTAAATCTCGGCTCATACTAGCCTAGAATGTTAAAGACATCACTTAATAGAATAAGAGCTGCCATTTCTACATTAAGGTCAAATTGTGGGAACATCAATGCTCATTTATCACCTGAAGGGCTGGAGTTCCTTTGTTTTTTTGTACAAACATTATGATTCTTGATAAAGAAAACTGATGATATGTTCTAAATAAAAAATAAACTATCCGTCTTTGTGCCAGGTAAGTACACAATTAAGTCATTTTAAACAAGAAATGTTTTTTATATCATGTTTTTAACTATGTACAATTATTAAGATTTTTGCTCAGTATATATTGGTGTATTAATCTACTTTGTTAGTTGCTCGGTACTAGCTGTTATAAGTGTACTATACTAACATATCATTTTATACATTCATAAGGCCTATTGAATATCACCTTTAATCTCAACTGGTGTTGATTAGAACTTGTAACCTTCTATGTAAATGTGAACAAGACAAAATTGAAACACCAGCAAGACATAAGACGATAGCGAGAAAATGCAGTCTTAAGATCTTCTCCAATGTATTTGGAAGTAGTAGTTATATAGTTAACAGTACTTTGAAAACATGATACATATATAGGATCTTACATTAGTTTCCATTTCATATGAGATTTACGAATTTTTCAATTAAGCGAGTCTCTGGCGAGCTAAAATGAAACATTTGTGACAAGTTTCATAAATTTCATATGAAATGGAAACGAGTGTAAGATCCTTTTTCACACATAATTAAGATTTGTGGCATTTATTCATGTAAAAGGACCAAATTCATGCAACCTGGAAATATATAAAAAGCCGTCATTTTGACTCTAGTGCGTATGTCTGTGACGTCATGTATGCTTGTCCTAGGTGTGACGACACAATTGAAAGTTACAACCAATCACAGGGCTGATACTTATAGGTCATATTACATGTGTTAATATTAGCAAACAAATATGACATGTGTATATTCACTGGATAACACAGTACATGATGCGATAAAAGGTAATTACCTGTATTTTTTGTATTTGTAGGATGATATACGTCGGGTGAGGAGAGAGCTAGAGAAGAGCGGGGCAGAAAAGGGAGACTTTACCAGTAAGATTGAGGAGCTGAACCTGTACAACACTAGCTCAGAGCGTGAACTGCGAAACATCATCTCATCCAAACAGAATCTGATGGTCGATCAAAATATACTGAAGCTGGAAATCAAGCGATTACGTGACATGTTAAATGGCAGGGCTGACGATGTTTTGAACATGGAGAAGCGACGACTACAGCTAGACACGGTGAGGCACATTCAAGATTAATGCCGTATATAATGGGACGTTTTTGCCCAGTCTTACTTTCTCCCATCACCCATGAAATCAGTTTTCGCACAGTGTTAATTTTGCCCTTCACATTTGATTACTATGTTTATTGTGCTATTTACTTATATTCGCTGTAATGATAAATTCGCCCTCATAATTAGGGAGGGCAAAAAAAAAAAAAATCAAACTGCAGCGAAAATTTCCCGGTATACAGTACATTATTGTCAGTTCTCTATACCATGATATTTTCACCACAGTTATATTTTTGTCTTTTTTTGGCCCTTGGTAATTAATGAGAGTGAATTTAATCATACCTTATGTATGTAAAAAGCAAGTTCACACTTGGCAAACAAGAATTTTATTGGCAAAGGGGAATATCAAACTCAGGTGACATTCCCTAGTATATTGTATAACATGGTACTGGAAAAATACATATTACTTTCTTTTCTCTTTTCTTTTTGGAAATGCGAAAAACTGTACACAACATATGACTGCATGATATGTTCCAAATTCACATTTTTTTGTATGTAATTTTTTTATTACAATGGTAATAATGTAAAATTAATTCATTGGCAAGTCCAGTTTAAGACTGTAGGGGTGAATGAGTTAACCAAGCACACGGTACAATATATAGGGGTTTTCTCAAAATTTTATAGAGTGAAACGTTAGTGGAAAGGAGATGTACAAGGTAGCATATATCCTCAACGGTGTGGTATTTCATTATTTTCTGTACAGGCTATGAAGGAGCGGAGACACGAGATCAGCATCCACACAGAAATGCTTCAGGCCCAGATTAGGGTCGCAAACGAGGAAAGAGGTCAGATTAGTGCTGAGCTCCATGAACGTATCTCAAAGATTGATAAACTCAAGAAAAGGTAAACTCATATGTCATATATGATCATTCTTAATATAAAGTATTTTTGATATTTATTCAGTGTCTGATTGTTTTAATGTGTGGTTTCCTTCAAAAAAAATTGTTCAGAAATCATAATGAATTTTTTTTTTTTTTTTTTTTTGTAATTTATTAATGAAATCTTAGTTCATAGAAATAGTATTGTGAAGAAAATGCATTATTTAAAGCATTTTTTCTTTTCTTTCTGTAATAGATTATAAAAAGGTTATGTTACTTTTCCAGGTACGAAATTCTGATGGTTTCAATGGCACCACCAGAGGGTGAGGAGGAGAGGTCTCAAGCTTACTACGTTATTAAGGTAGGAACAAGACCTTCATTGTGACTGTGTGTGCTTCTTGTTACTGTGTGTGATACTATAAACCTTTTCGCCTCTGGTTTACTTTTTGCCTTCTTCGCTGTTGAACAGTAGAGTGATTTAAACATAGCACTCTAGCTAATAGGAACATATGTGGAAAGACAAAAAAATATTATGGTTGTCTTTTATTATTCAGTCCTTCATAAAAAACAAAAATATTGAAATCTAAACGTTGCAACTCTTGAAATATGATTTTATTTAATTGATTTTTAGTTCAGAGCTGAATGTCAAAGGATTGTAAAATCCTAATTTAATGTCAGAATAAAATCTATGTATCTATGTATATTTTCTTTGAGAAATGTTTCTGATCATCCCTGTAGAACACTGCGACTATTAGTTTATACTGACTCCCCCATTATTTCCCTAGGCAGCACAAGAGAAGGAGGAGTTACAGCGTGAAGGTGATGACCTTGATGCTCGCATCAGAAAAGCAGAGAAGGAAATCCGTGCCCTAGAGAACACTCTCAAACTGATGAACAACAGGAACGAAACGTACAGGAAGAGCTTCAACAAAGTCACTGACCAAAGTACGCCCTCTTATAATTTTATCAGACACTTGGAAACAATTTTTAAATGATTTTATAAAAATAAATCTCTTTTTTGGAATGTTTTTTTATTATCTTTCTGCATCTTATATATGATATGCATTGCCATAATTTAGTGCACATTTACTATATAAAATTCAGTTGTTTTGCTTCTTCATTTTTTACAAGATTCTTACACAAGTATTTTTGCTCTTGTTAGGTAAATTCTTACTTACTTTTGTTCAATTTTCATATAAATCACATTTTGAGACTCTTTTAACCGTGGTGAATTCAAATATTTCACGAATATTTATTCAGACGTCATACAACAAGGAACATTATCGATTGTAGTTCTATCCCATGATTTCAAATCTCAGCAAACATGTTGCTGGAAGAAAAATCGCAAAGTGAGTATTCACAACATTTTGGTGCTTTAATGTATTGTGTATGTCACAGTTGATTATGCTGTGTTCAGTGTTACATATATACCTGACAGTTTTGTGTTGGGGTTACAGGTGATGATATGGAGGAGAAACAGCAGCTTGAGGAACAGATGAGGGCTGTCATGGATAAGTACAAGTACAAACGGCGCCAGATCAGAGAGCTACAGGAGGACCTGCAGGTACTGCTCACATAAATACGAATGTTCAGTTTCAAAGTTCTAAAAATAGCAAGGGTTCTTGTGGTCGTTTTTTTTAAAAATGGACGTGGTAAAAGATTTAAAATGAAGTATTGTAGAATCAGGAAGTCAGTTGACAAAAGAAATTCTAGAAAAATGTGGTTTGCTGTGTAGATCAATACAGATTTGTAAAGTAATGATAAAAGCTGTACATATGTTTTATAAGTGATTGTATATGTACTGAACTGTATGGTTGTAGACTATGAGCAGCACTCTGGACAACCTGGTGAGAGACTCCGGTGCTTACGAGGAGATGATTGATGAAAAGAAGGTAAGGTCATCGATGTTAAATATACAGCACAATGTCTGTTTCTTTGATCCATATATCAAATTTATTTTTACTTACTGGTATTTTAAAATTTGAAAAAAACATTTTTCTTATGTGAAATAAGTTTTAGAGTACAGCAAATTATACCTGTAAACGTTATATGCAGTTATATGTACCGTGACCTCAAATTACAGGTGATTTAATTTATTCACCCCTGAAATTTCATGATGTACTATTCCAACCTTTGAATTGGAAGAGTTCAAATGTTCCATCAGGGGTTAATGAGTTAAGTCCAGCGTACCTAGATATAGAAGTAGGACTAGTAGTAGTCCTGTACAGCAGGATATTTTGGCATAAGTAATATTTTGTTTTGAAAAAACCCACTATAATTATAATCTTATATGGTAAATAAACAGGTTTATTTGCAATCAAAAGTCGTATAGTTCAAGAAAGGCTCTGCTTCCTTTTTAGACTTATGCCATTGTTTTTACCTGTATCGTCCTGTCTTGTCATGTCGAATCCAAATTCAGCCTCAAAATAGTAAAATAAGTACTGTACTGTATTCAGATATATATGTATTATAAAGTAAATATAAACACCATTCAGTAAATAAAAGCACTATAATTTTGATAAGAACACCATTGTGATGAATATGTTGTTTTTTTCCCCTTTGAAACAGAACAAGGTTTTACAACTGTCTAAAGAGATTGACGACCAGAGAGCAAAACTTGAACGAGCCATGAAAAGTGTGAGTTGTTTTGGTTCAGCTTTAATTTCTTTTTGTGACAAAATTTTGAACGCCTGAATTTCAAGTATATTTCAGACGCCAATGTTCAAAAATATTTTACCAAAATTAAGAGAAAGAAAACACATCTTTCACTGAGAGGCAATAGTTTGAAAATTGCTGGATACATTTTTAATGAAATCTGTAATTACCCTTTTTATCTTATAGAATTCCAAATATGCCAGAGAGCTGAGATCTGCCAAAAAGTCCAAAGGAGAAACACCAGAGGAGGTTGGTAGACATTCCAAAACTGATTACATGGGAATGTTGACCAAAATGTATTACATTGAAATGTTGTATTTTTGAAATCTTGCCAAGATTAACTTTGAAATCATTATGGTAGCAGTATACAGTAGAGGGCTGTGGCCATGGGTGATATTTTTGTTAAATGGCTAACCCCTGTATAATGATATGTAAAAAAAATATAAAAATAAAACTGTACTAAAATTGGTATAAGCATGATGAAGTGGACTATGTGAGCTTGACATTTGTAAAAAAAAAAAAGATTTTTTTGGTTTGAGAATAAAATTTTGGCCATAATCTGAAAGGGTGCGTACACATGAAAAGCTAGCTTTACAGGAGGTAAAATTTTGACAACAGCACACGACGCAAAATTGCAAAAAATCAAGTTTTACAACTTTACTGGGACCCAGATAATTCTGCAACCAGGTAGGTAATCTTTAATTTCAGACAGAGCTTAGGAAAAAAATTACTAGTTGCGGGAGTCAAATTTTGAGTTAAAAATAGCAATTTTTGGCATTTTTTGGTAATTTTTGATGTGGTAACCATGGTTTTCACACAAGTGACATACATAGAAAAAAGAGGTTTATACACTTCTCAGTACTTTATATGTATTGTAAATGTAATGCAGTTTACAAATATATATACATGTATACATGTGTTGTGTAGGGTAAACCGCTGTGTTTACATTTCCTCGACATGTGGCTTGTTTATCAGAGTCGGGCCATTTCTACTGTAAACTGCTACCTATACTCTTAAAACTTTTTCTACATTAGATAAAAGCATTTATATAAAACTGAGTATAGAATACACAATGTCAGAGGAATATATAGATTTTATGAATGAGAAAATTTTAATTATTGGCATGATAGGGTATTTTTGAATCTATTCAGAGCTTGTGATGGCATCACTCGTCTTTGCATTACCTTAACTGACCTACATACAATTACAACAAACCAAATTCAGTATATATACACAATACATCTCCAGTACACACACAGGCATACACACATAGGGAGATATTAACAAACCGAATTCAGTATATATACACAATACATCTCCAGTACATACACAGGCATACACACGTAGGGAGATATTAACAAACCAAATTCAGTATATATACACAATACATCTCCAGTACATACACAGGCATACACACATAGGGAGATATTAACAAACCGAATTCAGTATATATACACAATACATCTCCAGCACACACACACAGGCATACACACGTAGGGAGATATTAACAAACCTAATTCAGTATATACCATCTTTGGGGGGTGTCTTTTTTTAATTGGAATAAAAGTCAATATTATTTACAAAGGTGTGTTCATTGCAATGATGACATGTTTTCCATGGTATAGATCAAGAAGTAGGCAGGATAAAGGGGATGTTTTGGCCCCTAATTGATATAGCCGAAGCATATATACTTTCTGTATAATTACATGGATGTTCTGACCTTTAGAATGACGTAATTGAGTTAATGGCTATTAAAATAATCAGTCAGATACATCAAATAGTTTCACATGAAGGTTAAATAACGTTAGAAATTAACATTTCAGGCTACAGAGTCTTTCATTGTGTAAGGTCTACCTAAGAGTTGGTTTATTAGGAACAAAGTCTAATGAAAAGTATCAAAAAAATGTTTGACACCTTCAACTGTGTTTTATGGTATTGGAAATGTCTGATGCACTACGTCACAACTTTCAGTCTCACAATGGTTAATTTCCTTATTTCAGCGTGACTTCCATGTGAGAGAACTGCGGGAGTTTAACAAGTCCATCATGTCCCAAATCGGAGATATCATCCAGACGCACCCTGACGTCGGGGAGACTGTTCATCTCTACTTCTCACAGGTAGGGCATTCAAGGAGTGTGAAACCTTTTGGATAAACATTGGTAACACAAGCTACAATGATTCTAATAGCATATCATATCTTATTTGATCATGAAGCAAAATATTCTGCTGCATTCAATAAGTGGGACATTAAATGTTTTTAACACCGTCTAATGCATCAATTGTTACTTCACAGCTAGGACATACATGTAATAGACCATTTTCAGATTGTTATATTCACCGATAGTAATAACTCTCTTTCTGCCAAGTGTGGTAGAAACCTAACCATGATAATATCCAGGTTTTTGCTGTATTATGTTTTGGAATTTATTGATGGCTGTGGTTGCTAACTTCTTTTTACCACCTCTGTAGGCTAACTTACCTCCACCAACACCAAGGGTTGGGTCACGACATCCCGGCAGTGCCCGCTCCAGTCTGACCTCTGCTCGTAGTAGCCCTGCTGGCAGTCTCAAGTCACCACCTAGTGGTAGCGGCAGACCTACACCCGTACAGATAGGAGCAGACCTAGGTATGTGACTGGATAATTTTACAACAACATTTTGCAGAGAAAAAAAAGGATCTCTGTCCCACTGCAGGCAAAACACTAGAGGATTCCATTGTATGCTTTCATACATAGAGTAATTTCTCCTTAATTTTGTGTTGGATAACTTTTTCTCCCACCCTTCACATGTATGTCTCCTGTCTTAGCTGGGAAAGATCAGCTCTCTCCCTAGGGGGAGATAGCTTCATGTAATTTTATTTAATTGTGCCGTCATTAAAATGTGTCACAGGTAATTGTGACGTCAAATCAAAAGTGAATGACGATATTCATACCCCCACTTGCTTTTGTTTACAAACATGGCAGACTGCTGTCCGTAAAGTTGTGACTGAAATAATATGATGGGAGAAAAATAATCGTCCCCTACCTTGAGGGTGTAACAGTGAAATTTCCAACCTTAAGGGTGATTTTCTTTGATTGTCTAACCCTCGGCAGACCCTGGGGTTAGACAACCAAAAAGGTTGGAGATTTCTCTGTCACACCCTTAAGGTAGGGGAAGATTCTATTAATCGTCCTTAAGTTAAAGTGTCTGTATGTAATTGGAGGTCCGATATTTTAATCTTGGTCCAGCTCTGTTGCATTTTTACACTCCGACACATTGTTTTTGTTAATTTGTGCTTTTAATGTTTCATTAATTAATATAATATTTTATGAAATTTCTGCAAGGCATAGATTTTCTTTCAGAAAAAAATTATCAAAATTATAGTAATAAAGGAAAACAAGTTTGGAGAACCATTTAACCCTTTCACCACTGTAGACCATAATGGACTCATCCAGATCAATGAATGGTAGTGTCTTCTAAAGTTACATAGGTGTGAAAGGGTGAAAGGGTTAAAGCAATGAAACAAAACACAATGAAATATATTAAATTTACTTTATAATGCACATCTTGTTATTATTCCACTGGTGGTTAACGAAATTAAAACCTTATGCATAAGTTCTGGATGTTCAATCATGGATCTTACTATACAAGAAAATGGGGGAGCTTTATCAAAAGGGACTTGAAACTTCATGAATCAATGATAATAAAATGCTTGATCAGTTAAATAACGTTTATACACAGCTTTGATTTCAAGCTATTTTAACAACTCTCTGGGAATATTTCGCAGTTAAATTACAGTGACTGTTCACGGTATCTTTGAAGTGTTCTTGATTCAGATTGAAAATATCTATGGATATGTTTTTCATAGGTTATATTTGAAAAAGAGTGATGTTCATTTGACTTGTATTGTGTTTCTAGGAGCAATGCGTTCCCCGGCCAGTTCCCGAAGTTCCAGTTCGATGTCAAGTGTTCGGAGTGGACGCAGCCGGACGGGGGCCAGTTCACGTCACTAGCTGCATACTAGCCACACCAGTGTTTCTCCGTCCTTGCTGACACAACCTGTTTTTAAGATTTGACTGTGATATGACTGTTATTATAAAGATGTAGCACTTAGCGTCCTTCACACTTTACATTCCTAGAGATATGCTTTATATGGTCAATGAACCAATTTACAATACCAGGACTTCAAATAAGATAAAAAGAATCCAAAGACATCAGTGATGGAACACGTTACTGATAATGTATTTCCAAAGTAAAACGATAGATTGGAGGAAAAGAAAATTTTCTACGGCCTCCCGACACCTATTCTGCCTCCTGAACACACCCTGGATGCATTGTTCTATGATAGACAAATGTAATGAATAAAAATCCACTTAAGGAATAGCATGAAACGTTTCATATCTTCTGGTTATTTTCATGATTTATATGATGGAACCTTGGTAGTTTGATTATACAAGCTAATAATGTATTGTATTGTATTGTACTGAAAGTCCATTTGTTGATGCTGTTGTTGAGGAATTTATTTCATTTAGAGTTTTATGACATTTGTTACTCTTGACATACTTTAGACAACTGAAATTCTAAGACAGTTAATAATTTTTATTCTTAATTATTGTATTCTTTCAAAGAGTGAAATTTAAATAACAATATATAAATTGCAGAGCTTCTTATAAACTGAAAGGTATACAAAACTATTTCAAAGCCTTGCACTGTTCAGAGCGATGATTGCATTCAGTCTATTGTCAAACAAGCATTGTATTTCATAATGTTTCCAGAATGGTGACATTAAACTTTTCCCGTCATTTTGAAGCCTTTAAAATTATTAATTTGAAAACTAATTATTTATTGAAATATCTTATGTACTGTAAAACTAGTATGTTCTTTTATGTTCATTGTCTTAATATATTACTGTATACTATAAGAGAGCTATTGACAATAAACTAAATGTCTCCACAATTTTCATTTGATTTATTTTAAATACCCCCACCACTACACACACACTCCTGAGAAGAAGTAGCCATATCCCACATACCTAAAATGATTGAATATTTTTCTTCCAACGAAATTTTGGCAAAACAATATGAACATGCAAATAAAACACTATAAAATATAACAAAGCTGTTAGACGGTGTTTACAAACAAACTTAAGACCATATTTGGAAGGAGCAGAAAAAAGTATACATCAAATTTAAAGATCAATACAGGGCCTTCAGACAATAACACTTATGTTCCTGAGGTGGGGCCACTTACAAGTCAAAGGTCACTTAGTGCTACCATGAGAGCGTTCCGTATAGGAGACGTGTAATGCATCTTGCATATAGGTCGTAGAGGTCATCCCATCCTCGATATCCAGGGGTTATGTATGCTCACTTTCGCTCTATGAACCCATAGAATATGTCTTAGCAAAATTGAAGACACACGGCTAGATATTTGATTGGTGTCGGGTAAAAAAATACTGACCAATCACTAGGCTGATGCACAGGAACCTGATAATTTGTTACAGCTGTATTTGGACCTAAACTATGGTGTTTGGCCCAGAGACCTGCTATTGACCCTGTAGCATGCTGGGGGGAAGGGCTACCAAGTTTGTTCAAATGAATGATATTGACCTACATTCAAGGTCATTCAGAGTAACTTTAGGGGTTTATATCTGAAGTCAGAAAGTTTAAGCGTCACGCGACCGCGAGATTATTTTGATGTACACCAAAGGATCGAACTAGTCTGTCCGTCCCGTCCACAAAGTGCTGCACACTGAGTCTTCGATTTGATATGACATATTTCAGGGGTGTAGAGAGCAAAAGTGAGCGTAACCCCTGGATATCCAGGGTGATCTGAGGTAATCATCGATAATCCAACTGTTACACCCACCTTCGCTCTTTACACACCTGGAATGTGCACCCCTTGTGGATGAGAGGAGAAGACTAGTTTGATCCTTTGATGTACATCAAAAGAATCTGTCAGTCACGTAACGGTAAAATTAACTGGCTTTGGGGTTGGGTGTTCCTTCTCTGTAATCTACATGTATCAACCTAACCGATTGGTCAGTTCTTTTACCTGAAATCAATCGTATAACCAGTTGCTTGCCTTCAATTTTTCTATGACATATTCCAGGGCTGCTGAGAGCGAAAGTCAGCGTTGTAGGTGCCAATATGTGAAAACAGGAAAAACTGTATTAGATTCATTAATTACCGTGTTTAAAAATGACTTATTATTTAAACTAAATTGGCACGCTACATAGCCTACCACTCCACGCTCCCTCCACGGAGCTTTTAGTTACGTAATCAATGAAGGGTTTTCATTAAGTAGCATGGCCCAAAACGAAATAACCCAGTGCCCAAACATAGCAGCCACCGACATCTCGAGTGTCAAGCAGCAGACCAGGAATAAAGGGATAACTCGCAACAAAATTTAGTAAACAGTACAATTGCATATAAGGAACAAACTAGCAAAAGAACATATCAAGAGACGACATTGTATGATAAACCTGAACAGTTACGTCTGTAGAAAATGAAAAATTCCTTTCCAAACATATCAAGGTTAAATACACAAAATAAGACAACTACCCACAGGATCAGAAATGATGAAAACTCACAGCGTGTTGTAAAATTGAGACATGTAAGCGCGCAAAAGAACAGCTTACTTTAAATTATTTAATTATTTAGGTTACTTTCCTTATCAAAGGCAGACACGATAAAGACTTCCGTTATATTTGACTTGGTAGAATATATATAATCAACGTAAGTGGAAGATACAAATCGGGATTAAAAAACTGTTGGAAAAATAATCAACTCAGGCCGCGAATCGCCTTCTTTAACTCTTTGATCCGACATTTCATCGCCCGTTATATATATATAATTATATTCCATCATAATACACTCACATACGTTGATTATATCTTAAATGAAAAAAAAAGACTATACAGTTGTATATTTTAGAAGCATATTAGTGTCCCAAACAAAACGTAATTTTATTTATGGTACAATTCCAATTGATACAAGTCAAATGTGAAACCACTTTATTGCAGAGGCCTCCAAACGTACATTAAAACTTGGCTTACTTACCCACATAACCCTTTATGAACGATATTCGTCCAGGGAAACATAACTCCCGAAGAAGTACGTGACATGGGCTATTAGCTAACTATATCCATATAACTTTGTGAATGTCGTAAATGAGTCATGGGATTTCCTAAATGAGGTAATGACACAGATTCTCGCCTTACCGTACCGATATAACCGTTTGCTTTATGTCACGTCATTATTCAAGGGAAACATAACTGCTATAGAAGGGATTGGCATGTGTGATTAGCCTTTTGGCAAATGCAACCGTTTGTGAATGTCGTGAATAAGTCTTAGGAAACTTAACCCTTGAAGTAGATCATGACATTGGTGCTTATCTTACAGAATCCATGCATTTTTTTTGTAAATGTCATTCGTCCAGGGAAACTATTTCCTAAATGAGGTAATGACACACATTCTCATCTTACTGTACCAATATAACCGTTTATAAATTTCCTTGGTCAAGGGAAATGTAACCCCTGAAAGAGCGTGACATACGCGCTTAACTTACTGTGAACGTCGTAAGTCCAGATAATCGTTTTTTATTTTTAGATTTGGTTTGGTTTGGTTTGGTTTTGTCTAACGTCCTATTAACAGCCAATGTCATTTAAGGATATGCTTCAATGTGGGTTGTGTAAGCGTGCATGTGTGTATGTGTGCCGGAGACAGGGTATGTTGTTGTGCTTGCCTCCTTGTGATAGCGCGGATCTGACGCCGACTTTATAATGGTATCTCAATGAAATACCATGCCGAAGGTGCCGAGCACAGCTTTCCACCCGGTCAAATTATACAGACAACGGGTGAACCAGTTGTTGCTATTGCCTGGGGACAGAACCCGTTGCCTTCCTCACCTCGCCGAACATTCATCATTAAAGCCAAAAGTGAGGTATTACCAAGGGAGGCGCTAGGAAATAAAAGATAGTTAGAATTAGAAAGAAATGATTTACAGAACATTAACCTTTGGAAAAGTTTTATCAAAAAACATATTTTGTTTTACTATTGGAATAACATCATCAGTTATGCAAATATGTATTAGTGTGCAGACAGTGGTTGTTATTGGGATGTCTATATCATAAATCCCTGTATATGGCGATTTTGCGTCAGGAGAAAGCTTTTTAATTCCTATCCAAGGGTTGTCAATAGTCAACTGGTAACCTGATTGGAAGACCACGAACTGCTTTCAAACTTCAACAACTAAAATGATAGTGAATCAATTTACACATAGTCAGCCAAACGTTTATCTCGTGTAGGTATCCATCGTTGTGCAAATGAAGATTAACAAATACTGAAGAAAATAACAATTGAGTACAAAAGCTTTCGCACGTGCTGGCTTTCCGCATTTGATAATTTTAATATGCCACCAGCGGGACCATAAACATATAGGTATTGACATATTTCAAAAGTGGTTCCGGGGGCAAAGCTGCCGTCTTTTACTTTACAACATGTATGGTACGAAGGGTGGATATCTATAGCAGTTTTATGAATAACATTCACCTGCTTCATACTTTATTATTTAGTTTGATACATGGATCACATTAAATCAGGTAATTCACAGCAAAACCTCAATTCCTGTGTAGCATATTGTTTTAATAGGAATAAATATATGAGTTTCAGTGTAAGCAGCAGCGTTTTGACACCAACACAGACGGACACACGAGAAACCAATCAGACAGCAATACTGAAAGCAAAAAAGGCAAAGTGTAAACAAATTGTTAGATGGCATATTGGAGCGTGGATACAACACAACACCATTTTTTATCGCCAACCAATTTGGTGGATTAAAGATGGTTTAATGAAGTGAATGCTCTCGCTCACCAACAGGCTCACAATAAGGCAAAAGCGAATAGATTGTTCCGCGTTGAATAGATAATGTGTAAAAGAGATGTAAATTAACTTTAAAATATACTGGACATCTTCAGTGATTAAGTGATTATCTCAGCCTGTTATTTATGTTTTCAGCTGAATGAAAATTAGCCATTTTTGTTTGAATTGTATTCAACTTAGTATACATTTATTCGTTGCCGTGTTAGTTAATAAAACACCATGCTGAATTGACGTTAACGCAGGAAAGTCGCTAAATACTTAGGCAAAACATTGCAAATTAGACGACTAGCTTATATATTTCTGCACGAGTCGCTCATGAATGTTCTGAACGTTCTTTATGGGCGACAAGTCCGGTGATTTAGTTGACAAATCCTAAACCTGAAATATATTTTTACTTCTGAGGCGACTGGTTTGTGCTGGTATGCTTTCTAGTCGAAAAATAGCGCCAGTGCATTACGTTGTAAAACCGGGAGTTCAACCGTCTTCAAAACTTCGCCTCGATAATGCACCCAATCAAAGTGCCCAGGATCTGAAACAAGTATTGTACGGTTACCACCTCAAATACCTAACGAAACCATCAAACTACTACCACTAAAACGGTGAAGTTAAACGCAAGTTCATTCGTAAAGCGTTTACCCCGATGACTTCAGGCTATTCCTTTCCCATCATCATGTTATATTTACATTTGCATGGCATTGCCACTATATAGCCTCTTTGAAAGCTGTTTGTTGATGGGACTTTAATTACCATGCATCACGAGACACAATTCTAAGCGTATTAATACAACACTGACCGGAACTACAATATCCAATATAAATAAACATTACGGCTGCTGAAATATCGCTGGGCATTGTGAGATTTGACAATGTCATTGTAAATTTATGTGCAAAATAAAAAAAAACAAAAAAACCCACTTTTATTACAATGAAAACAAGACCAAGGTCTGCAATATCGTACAAAATGCACATCGGTTGAAATCACCAATGCCGGCAATGGAAACAATTTTAACG